ATCACATCACTAGTCTCGTTATGCAGCAAGGTAAAAGGATTTTTCTGACTTAAGGGCACTTTGAAATCGACTAGTTCGTATTTAACTCTGAACAATTAGCCGTGGGTGGGGCCTGTCGTGCGAAAGACAAGAGACCAAAAAGTATGAAGTGCATAATATGAAGAGACCTACACTCACTCTTGGATGGACGTGGGTTGAAGAAGAGAGGAACTGTCATTTTACTGTTCTAGATGCCTTAACGCTACACCTGGTTGTATGTTGATACTACATGGGTTTGTTGGCGTCGTTAAGAATTGGGGTATTAGGGGGGAAAACTGTTGCACCCTTAAAATTGCGATAGATGTCCGTTTGTCACCAGAAGTGGGCAGGACAGATACCCCTAATCTGCTGGCTCCGAACACGCAATGAAACTCAAATAAGTAGTGTTCAATAGTACTCTATAGGCAGCGATTTAGCTCTGCCCCTGGCGTTGCTGACGTCTGTTAGCGACGATAACCACTCACCATCAGATCAGGCCGTATCCTCGTCTGCCTACAAGGGCAAAAAAACGTTCATTACGTAAATGATTACGGCCATTTTCGCCCTCGCGTTACCTTCCTGATTATTGAGGGTAGTTATTATGATCTCTTTGATGATTCTCCTACCTCCTTATCCTTGACCTTGTCGACGGCCGTACGCTAGTTAAAATCTTATTTAAAAAACCTTGCCTATTTTAAAGACCTTATTTAAACTGATTACATTTCAGGGGACTCCATCGCGGCGTTGAAGGCCGCCACAGAATTAACGTCCGGTATTAGCTTGGGCGGTATGAGAGCTCCGCATCCGGCACTCTCAAATAGGGACATCACGGAGATTAAGGAAATCCTTAATGACAACGACATTGAATATATTGAACAATAATTCGAAGAATAAAGTGTGCAGTGATAATCTTTTTTTCATTAACATTAAATGTAAAAAAAAGAAGAAAATGAATCCAATAAACTTAGTGAATTTGCTGACAGGCATTATTTGAATCCTATATTCGTTCAGACCAGCTCCTTTGTTTATGACAAGATTTTTTACTATGCCATCATATTACATACGAAAGTACAAATAAAAATGAGTTTAAACGCTGAAAAAATTGCCAAATTGCTTTTTTTTTGTGAAGAAAGACTTACTGGTGGCCCGAAGGCCTTTCCAGTTTTACCAAGACCGGTTTGCGAGAACAGGCACAGCCATGAGGGTCAGGACTTGCTAAAAGCTGCCTGAACGCCTCCAAAGGCGACTTAACAACTCAAGAGCAGCTGCTACGCGAATGAATCTACTACCGGATTGAAATCGCAACCCGCTGAGAAGATCCGGCGAGAAACTCAGCGGGCTCATGTATGGGTTAGGTTGCACCTCGAACTCTTTGCCGAGTTCAATGAGTACGGTTACCGGGATCCCTAAGCCTACTCCTAGTGTTAGAAGGCGTCTACTACTGAGGTTAATGGATCTGATGGATCCGTAAGGATGCGTCTAAGGCGTCGATGGGGACTGGCTCCAGCGTCAAATGTCGAATTGCATTTATCGAGAGATGATATTTATAAACACCTACAACTACACAAATCATAGGTTCGTTTTCTGGAAGTTTTCCCTTCGTTGTTGTTTAATGTCGGCATAAATTATATTAGGACTATAGTGGGGCAGCCGTTGTAACTATACTGAGTCCTTAGAACTCAAATCTTATGGTCGGTGGCAGCATTTACATTGTAGATGTCTATGAGCTCCAGTAATCACCTAACGCCGGGTGGGCTGTGAGCTAAACCAGACATCTGAGCAATAAAATTTAAAAAAAGCGACTTGAAATGACTAAAAATTAGAACGTAAAACTACGAGTATAATAGAGATTTCTCTAAAAAGTACGTCATTTCGATCCTCCCGATCCACTAACGATGCTTTTAGGTACCTCAAGCACCGGTCACCGTTCTCGTCGAACCCGTCGCTAGCGACGAAGGGCTCGACGGGTAAATTAACCCTCAGACCCAGCCCACTGAGTTTCTCGCCGGATCTTCTCAGTGGGTCGTGTTTCCGATCCGGTGATAGGTAGATTCTGCGAAGCACGGCTCTTGCTAGGGTTCATGTTAGCAACGTCATCAAGTTTGAGACCCGTGAGCTCACCTACTAGTTAAGGCGACGCTGATATAGCCTCTCAAGGCTATCAGCTTAGGTAGGAAAAAAAAAAACACGCGCGAAATGTCTTAAAAATATTTAATCTTACGTGTTATATCAACGACCTAGAAATGGTAGATTATAGTATACTAGTGGTCCCGCAGTAGTCGAAATTCGACTATAATTAATTGGAATTGTAAGTTTGTAAACTATTATGATTGTATTTTATACTTCTATAATCACAAATTTCGCCAAGGCTACACTATAAAAAAAAATAAAGACAAACAATATATTTCATCTATTCTCAATTTGACCACAGACGTCAAAAATTAAAGTTTGACAATAAATAGTATGCATGCGTGTGTGTGTGCGTCAANTCGAAATTCAACTATAATTAATTGGAATTGTAAGTTTGTAAACTATTATGATTGTATTTTATACTTCTATAATCACAAATTTCGCCAAGGCTACACTATAAAAAAAAATAAAGACAAACAATATATTTCATCTATTCTCAATTTGACCACAGACGTCAAAAATTAAAGTTTGACAATAAATAGTATGCATGCGTGTGTGTGTGCGTCAAATACGTGGTATGTAGTGTGTGTAATGTTTTCTTTATTGATTTAATGTATCTTTTATGCATTATTTTAAAAAAATATTAGCATTGTGCACTTCTTCTCTATATTCTCTATAAGTGTAGAAAATTTCATACTCCTCCGTCTGCGCAATTTTCGTAAAAAGGGATACAAAGTTTTTGCTTCACTTATTAATATTAGATTATTTTGCATAGTTTATTAAATGAATGTTGTTGTTTTTCAAATGCCACATTAAATTACATTACATACTACAAGATACATATTTTAATGCACTTCAAACAAAACACTTAACTAATTCTAATGACGTTTCATGCAAATATTATTAAGAGTGCTAAGCACAACGCGTTGTTAACATAATTTATACACGTAATAACAAATAAATATTATTCAGTATGATTTGAAATTAAAACATCTGGAATAAGCTGTAAATTATCGCTCAACGACGATTTTATCAATGCTTTAATCACAATTACAACTCTGAATTAAATTCTTAAAAACTTATATTATAATATATTCATAAATCGTATAACTAAGAAATTGTCGGTGGTTTTTTTTAATTTTGACGTCACACAAGGAAAGCGTTTGCGTGAAAACAAAACGATAAAAACAATACAAGAAAAGAAAATTATATTTTTGGGATTACAACCGAACAGAACATTTTCTTGTATTCTCCATGGTTTGCATTTGTGCGCTTCTATTTTTTTTTATTGCTTTGATGGTTGGACGAGCTCACAGCCCACCGGGTATTAAGTGGTTACTGGAGCCCATAGACATCTACGACGTAAATGCGCCACTCACCTTGAGATATAAGTTGTAAGGTCTCAGGTATAGTTACAACAGCTGCCCCGCCCTTCAAACCGAAACGCATTACTGCTTCACGGCAGAAATAGGCAGGGGTGGTGGTACCTAACCGCGCGGACTCTAATGAGGTCCTACCACCAGTAATCTCAAGAGCTCCTACCACCAGTAATTTCCAATAATCTGGCGTGACTTTACAGATAGGTATCTGTTTTATACCTATATACTGTATGCTTCGGAACGACTTCTACGACAATCCAATCTCTCCCTCTACGGCAACAAAACCTTCAGGACAGTCGTCGTACAGGCTAACTTGATCTTCATAAATTACGTCACCGCCCAAGGAGTCCCGAATCAGGTCATTGGACTGTGCCAAAAAACATCCCCGTAATATCCAATCATATTAAAACCGGTCGGGAAACATGGCCCATCTTTCTGTTGCTCCTTATCAATATTACATGCAAAGCAATTGTGCATCATCTTTGTTTATGGGCCCCCGAATTAATAGGGGAAGAACGATGGGCAACCCCTCTTACCGCCGGCTGTACTTGGTTCGGTGAGCTTAAGCGAGATAGAACATTTCCTCTCATGTTCCGACGATGCACTGACAGCAGGCGAGCGTCACATATGGTCCTTTGAAATAGGCAATACTCTCGTAGAGTTAGAGAGTTAGAGATTAATTAAGAACAAGAATCGATTTGTAATTACTAAATGAGACTTCAATATTTATTGGCTTTAGTGAAGATGTGAATTTTTCAGTTTTTTTTTCATGTTCCAACTGATAACTGTATTCACGGATGGTTTTAAGTTTATTTTAATATTTTTTTAATTTCTTAGATGGGTGGACGAGCTCACAGCCCACCTGGTGTGAAGTGGTCACTGGAGCCCAAAGACATCTACAACGTAAATGCGCTACCCATCTTGAGATATAAGTTCAAAGATCTCAGGTATAGTTACAACGGCTGCCCCGCCCTTCAAACCGAAACGAACTCAAACCAAACTTCAAAAGCATTACTGATTCACGGCAGAAATAGACAGAATGGTGGTACCTACCCGCGCGGACTCACAAGAGGTCCTACCACCAGTGGATCCGGCCTATAATATATAGGCCTACAATATATAATGAATAGGCTCTAACAGTCCTAACACAAAAAAAACATTCATACTGTATTTAGTTAACAAAAACAAAAGAAAAATCCATATTATTCCCTCATAATGGAAGGCATTCTTGCGTTCGCACAAAATAGGTTTGTGCCCCAATATGAACAAAGATTTTCGCTCTAGAATAGATGTATCGCACACACAAAATCCAGCGGATGCAAAGACCATGTCTATTTCAATGTGCTTTATTTATTTTTCAAATCCAAGTTGATGCTTTTTCGTGAATTAAGCAATTGATTAATCGAGAAATAAAATACATTCGCATCACTATTAAAATTTTATATTAGCGTATAAGTTGTTTCGTGAATATAATTCAGAGTCAGTTGTACAAATAAGAGTACAAGAAAAACATGTACTCGATATCTGGATTAACGTTTTTATGTGTTTTGATAATAAATGTGTTTAATACGAGATGCGAAGACTATGCCGAGGTAATTACTAATTATTATTTTTACCAAGAAAGAAAGAAAGAAAGAAAGAAAGAAAGAAAGAAATCATTTATTCGCTAATCATAGTGAAAATGAGTTATTACGTTAAAAGCAGCGCGTATGCTTTGTCATTATTTGACATGCAATTTTCATTTGCGCATTTTTTAGTACAGTGCAAGATATTATGATATTATATAATTTACCTTTCATTCATCCATAATTCAACCAATAATTTAAAAAATCCATTTATTTTGAATGTCGTCCCTAAGAAAATCATTTATGAGATAATAATTTTCACGGTTTTCAATTTGTTTTACGGTTTGGAATGATATAAAATTTTAAAATGAATTCGATAAGAATGTTTCTAGTTTTTCTATTACGAATGACAGTTCAGTCAGAAGATGTTCAAGAGAAGTCTTCACGCATGTAATCTTAAACATAGATGTTAGTAAAGGCACCATGTAAATGGCATTGCAGATGTCCATGCGCGCTGTAGCCACTCATCGTCATATCATAGTAGTACTGTTTATTTATTGTCTTGCTATAATAATTACCAAACAGCAAATTCGTATTGCAACATAGCACTTTTAAACGATTGGAACTTAGCAAGAATATCCGAAAATGGGCCACTGCTTTTTCTCAGTTGTGTTCAAGGCTTGGGTAATTGCGTACCATAAAAGAAAAGGTCACAACGAGATTTCCTTTGAAATACGCCCACGTACCAATATTTGCCAATAATTATAATAATATGTCATTAAATACAGTTCGGTGAGAATTTTCTAATGCGTATGTCATGTANAAACGATTGGAACTTAGCAAGAATATCCGAAAATGGGCCACTGCTTTTTCTCAGTTGTGTTCAAGGCTTGGGTAATTGCGTACCATAAAAGAAAAGGTCACAACGAGATTTCCTTTGAAATACGCCCACGTACCAATATTTGCCAATAATTATAATAATATGTCATTAAATACAGTTCGGTGAGAATTTTCTAATGCGTATGTCATGTACAATTCAAAACTTACTAGTGAAATCTCTTAGCTAACTTTTAGCTAGACTATTAGTTAATTATTAAATACACTGCGTGAACTAACTCAGTGCCCATCTGTTGTAGAATGGTTATAAGACCCTATAGACATCCCAATATGAATGCCACGATTCACCTTCTCGACTCGATTATATTGTATAACCGGCAAAATGTATCTCGCTTAAGAAGTGGCCACGGCCAGATCATTTTAAAATCATATACTTAATAAGTCTGGTTTCTAGTTAAAAGTACTTTTAAACTTGGCTTTACTGGTGATAGGACCTCTTGTGAGTCCGCACGGGTAGGTACCACCACCCCGCGTATTACTGTCGTGAAGTAGTAATGCGTTTCGGTTTGAAGGGTGGGGCAGCCGTTGTAACTATACTGAGACCTTAGAACTTGTATCTCAAGGTGGGTGGCGCATGGCGGTAACCACTTAACACCAGGTGGGCTGCGAGCTCGTCCACCCATCTAAGCAAAAAATAAAAAAATAAAAAAAAATACTCGAAACTCATTCAAACCACTTTTCGATCAAAACACATTCAAAGACGACCGCCGGCTCGATTTTGGCACCAACTGAAATACGTCACTAGAGTTTTGCAATGAATTTTTATTAAATGACGCAATTTCCTTATTAAATATTTAAATAAGTTTTGTTTTCTGAAACACCTTCTTCAATTGCAGCAGTTTATGGTAAAATGGTTGATTCTAAGTGTAATAATATAACGATAAAATATAATAATATTCTGAGTAATGATAGTAATTATTGATTCTAAGTATAATAATAGAATAATAGTAATCGATTTTACCATTTTTCCAGAATGTTACCCTTATTTTCTCTCGTATTCACAAAACTATTTTAATTACTATTTAACCAATTCAACTCATTTTTTTGGGAATTGATTAATACAACTTCAACCAACAGTTCAACCAAAAAGGTGTCTTTGCAACAGTCTTCACTCCCTTCAACGATGATGGAAGCGTCAACTACAAAGTCATCCCCAAAATCGCGACCTATCTGAAGTATAACGGGATTGATGGAGTTGTTGGTGAGTTCACTAACCTAACACATTTGATGTGTGTGCGTGTGTGTATTTATTTTCGTTAATAAGTAGACGAGCTAGATAATAGCCATAATCCATACAGTGGAAACACCATTTTTTACTTCGAAACCTAGGCTGTGGGCTTATGCGTAGATGATAGCGTTTTTTTAACGCACATAGGCATGTGGTTGTGTTGGTTAGTATATTTACTATTGGCTAATATAGTTTAGTATGAAACAGAAAATCAATATGAAATAAACAGTCTCAACAACAACAACAACCCTTCAAACCCAAACCTATGACAGCTTTATTTCACGAGTAGGCAGAATGATAATCGATACAGATACCGGTAAGACCTTACTAAAATTTTAATTTTTGTTTTTATCATGTGGGATTTGGAAATCGCTCGTTAATACGAGTTAAGAGAACACCATCGCTCATTGGGCCTATCCACTAAACGAAAACCCTACACCATCCATCCATCCAAAATCCATCCATCCAACCATCTATGCAATAAAAATAAAATAAAAAAAGCTGCGATTCATTTAAGGTTCAGCCGCGGATTGTTGACCATCAGGGCATTTTAGTTGGTTCGACTCTGACATGCCCGAGCGTCAGGGCATTTTAGTCGGTTCGACTCCGACATGCCCTGCCTATCACCAGGCGTAGGCGGAAGTACGACGATTTCCTTCTGAACCCAAACTTAGGGACACTTGAGATCATCCACTGATTTTCTCAATGGGTCGCGATTCCGATCTGGTAGTAGATTCAGCGAAGCACTGCTCTTTGTAGGGCTAGTGTTATTGAATTGCCTAAAAACGCGAAGTATTCAAGGTTGCACTTAAATTTACCTGTTACAGTCGCGGATACGCCAGGAGAGGGACCGAACTTGAACCTTTGTGAGACGAAGAAACTTCTTGACTCTTGGACAACTGCTGGGAGGCCCTTAGGATTGAAGGTGGTCGCCCAAATCGGAGGAAGCGCTCTGCCTGTCATCATCTCCTTAGTAAGTAGAATGCGTCTATTATAGCCTTTATGACTTTCAGATTATGTTAGGAGAACTATTAGAAGATCCAAATGTTTTGCGGCTTGGCTGCACGAATCAACGAATGTAAGTAACCATATTCAAACCTACATTTTAAAGTAGGTTTGAATTAATCTCGAATATTTTTGCCGTTATTATATCTATATATTAATAAGTGAAGCAAAAACTTATTATCCCTTTTTACGAAAATTGCGCGGACGGAGGAGTATGAAATTTTCCACACTTAAAGAGAATATAGAGAAGAAGTGAACAATGCTAATATTATTTTAAATAATGCATAAAAGATACATTAAATCAATAAAGAAAACATTACACACACTACATACCATGTATTTGACGCACACACGCATGCATACTATTAATTGTCAAACTTTGGTTCTTGACGTCTGTGGTCAAATTGAGAATAAATTAAATATTGTTTGTCTTTATTAATATTTTTTTATAGTGTAGCCTTGGCGAAATTTGTGATTATAGAAGTATTAAATACAATCATAATAGTGTACAAACTTATTATACAATTCCAATTAATTATAGTCGAATTTCGACTACTGCGGGACCTCTAGTTATTATTATTTCTTACGTTTCTGATACTAAACAGTTTTCATGGTAACGAACCACTGGGGTGCAATTCGTTTGAATGACATACTTCAAATTTGCGACTAGCAAAAACCGAAAGAAAATATTTTTATGTAACTAATGTACTTTGATGTAAACTAAGAGTATAATAAATTTAAATATTCGATCGGTTTAATTTTAAATGTTTATATCCCGATATAAAATCATATATTCTGTTCCCAACAATAAACACTTATTTAAATTGATCCTTGTTATTTAAATAATAAGACACCATAATTAATTCCGCTTCCGCTAATGCTGATTGATGTACGATAAAGAAGAAAATGTTTCTCAAAGTTTTCACGTTCAATCTTCTATTTTTACACGCTTTATATTAGCTCCGCTTGTATGTATGTTTGTATGTTTGTAACTGACTCCTTTAAACGCGATTTTGACCCACTTTAAACGGCCAGATTTCATTCAAACTTTGTAGATTCATCAAGGACCGATGACAGTACACTAATTTGATAAGATTATTCCATTATTCAATTTACAAAATAAGATTTTTGCCAATTTATATAAATTTTATCTATAGTCGATAAGGCAGGAATTGATGTTAAAGTACTTAATAGTTTTAAAAATACGTTTTTATAGAAAAATTAACTAAAAAATGAATAATAAATAATAGTTTAAAAAAAACTAAAAAACACGTTTTATATAAAATTCAACTAAAAAATAGAAAATAAATTTATTTAGAAAATTTATTTATTTATATTTGTAATATTATTTATTTATATTTAGGAAGGGAATGTTAATTTTCAGGCAAAATACGCAGCAAACCTTCAAGTAGACGCCCTGCTCGTTCTACCAACTCCTTACTACAAACCTGAAGACGCTTTGCAACTGGTCAGTCTTCTGGAACTAGTTGCTAAGGCAGCGCCTTCACTGCCTATCATCTACAATGATTCACACTTATCTGGATTGAATGGTATTGTTTTTATTCGTTGTGTTGAGGATTAGGACAGCCTGTTTTTTTTATTTATATTTCTTAGATGGGTGGACGAGCTCACAGCCTGGTGTTAAGTGGTTACTGGTGCCCATAGACATCTACAACGTAAATGCGCCTCCCACCTTGAGATATAAGGTCTCAAGTATAGTTACAACGGCTGCCCCAACCTTCAAACCGAAACGCATTACTGTTTCACGGCAGAAATAGGCAGGGTGGTGGTACCTACCCGCGCGGACTCACAAGAGGTCCTACCACCAGTAATAAATGATCCGAGCTTATAACATACAGGGTAATTGTACTGGATGTGGGTTTGTACCACATGGTTTGTATCAAAAGTCACTACTATAATTTAGGCTAAAGGCTAACCACTTTTAGGCCAATTCAACTGAAACTTTTAGATTGACAATGTATCGACCTATTTAAGCTAAAACAAAAGCATTGAAAATGTTAAGGTTTCCCACAAACATCACCGTTGCTTTATTGGGGCAAAGCGGTAAGCGGTAGGCAGCGGCTTGGCTCTGCCCCTGGCATTGCTGGAGTCCATGGGCGACGGTAACAACTCACCACTAGGTGGGCCGTATGCTCGTCTGCCTGCAAGGGCAATAAAAAAAATTAAAAGGACGCCTTTTCCTATCTGTATACGAAAATTTGATTACATTTTTTCCTTTTAATTTTGTTTTATAAGTTCCGATGCTTCGTATACATTTTCGTGGTAAAACAACGTGATAAAATTTAAAAATCGAGCAAAGTATATTACTTCGATCCTTTCGATAATAATTCTTGTAAATTACAAAGAGAATACGAAGAGAAAAATCATAATTTGTACAGTTGTACAAACATTCATGAATTGACATTTAGAACGTTGCAGATGTTAAATGCAAATTTATCATTAATTCGCGAAGCAATTACGAATTAATTAATTAATTAATGAAGTTAGTTAAAGCGTTTGCATAGTTACGTTTTTTTACTTTAACAAATAGATTTCATAGGTCACTTTAGTTATGTACTATGTGTTTAGGTGCCCGCGACAAATCGCACCGTCCCCTCCGCTATAAAATATATATTTTTGAAAGGCAAACGTGACTAAGCGACAATAACTGCTTTGTACATAAATGATAGGCAATAACCATATTCGATGTGCAAAAAATATATATTTCTAGGTCTATTAAAATAATTTCAATCCTACAGCTAGATTCGTTAAAATACATTTTTTTACAGGTATTTCAACTTTAAATTACTCTACTGTAAAGTTCACGCATTGTCGCTTAGTCACGTTTGCCTTTCAAGCGTCGATATATTTTTGAAAGGCAAACGTGACTAAGCGACAATAACTGCTTTGTACATAAATGATAGGCAATAACCATATTCGATGTGCAAAAAATATATATTTCTAGGTCTATTAAAATAATTTCAATCCTACAGCTACTAGCTAGATTCTACTACAGCTAGATTCGTTAAAATAAATTTTGTTTTCAGGTAATTCAACTTTAAATTAGTCTACTGTAAAGTTCACGCATTGTCGCTTAGTCACGTTTGCCTTTCAAGCGTCGATATAATTAATCCGAAAGTATTTGAGAATTCAAAACAAATCCTATTTAATTTTATAGCCATATGATTTTGGTCTGTTTACTAATTGTTTTCGGTAACGCGCTCAGTTGTAATTTGTTGTAAAAAAAATGTAATTTATGCTTTGAGTCTAGTAAAAAAGGCGGGAGGGCGGCTCTACTATATTATACATAATATAGCTATATCATTGAGATTTCGTCCTCTTATCTCGAGGTGATTTCTGTCGGTTCCAATAACCACTTAATACCGGGCGGACTGTGAGCTCAATCTAAAATATTAACAACAAATAAAAAAATGTTGACATAACACTAAAAGAGCTTGAGACCGAAACTTTAGATATGAACGCTTTGCGACAGAAACAAATAGCTTTGTTCAATCTGACTATGAAGATAATAATTATCAGAGTTTACTTATGTTTATGTTTTTATATTATATAACAACAAATAGCCACAACATAGCGCATAAAACAAGGCACTAACAAACGGTAGGGCACATTAAGGTAACATTATCCGAAGATTTAAAAAAGGGAATAAAATCGAAGATAAGACTAAACTAAGTTCTCAGTATAGTTACATAGTTACACCAAATAGTACTTTTAATTAGTTAAACCTATCTAAACCTTTCACCCGTCGATGTAAGATCGTTTACTGTAACTATAGATGACATCTTAATTTCTAGTTGACATGGTGAGCTTCTTTAAGCTGGCTTCAGAAAGGATACCACAATTCAAAGGACTGAAGACAAAACTCGAAGTGGCTCTCAACGTAAAATCGTCAAACAATTTGAGAGAAAATCAGAACATATACATATCGGATTACGTAAGCTTTTTATGCTTAGAAGTAAAATACTAACGAACTAATCATTTGCGGTATAATTCGTGACAATGAAATACCTACGTGAATTACGTACTTAACAAATGGTCACGATTAACTTCCATAGTGAAGGAATAACATCGTATAATAAAAATCGAACCCCTAAAATTATAATTTGCATAATTACTGGTGGTAGGACGTCTTGTGAGTCCGCACGGGTAGGTACCACCACCCTGACTACTTCTGCCGTGAAGCTATTTCGAATTGAATGGCGGGGCAGCCGGGCATGACCTTAGAACTCATATCTCAAGGTGGTTGGCGCATTCACGTTGTAGATGTCTATGGACTCCGGTAACCACTTAACACCAGGTGAGCTGTAAGCTCGTCCACCCACGTAAGCTATAAAATAAAATAACAAACCTATCTATTTTCCTTTAGATACTATTTCCAAAATTTTTCATTAGGAAATTTCTAAGTACATTATAATGTTCTTTCCACAACTTAACACATATTATTTTAAATAAATAATTATATCTAGTCTAGGTAGTTTTTCTGTAACTCACTATAAACAATTATTTCGAGGTGTGTTGTATTTAAGACTTAGGTCTCGTATCTCAAGATGAGCGGTGTAATTCGCAATCCGATGAAGATACTATATCGCCTTCGCATAAAACCAACTCTTTAGTTATTAGTTCTTATAAATGTTGATATTTCAGCTTTCCATATCATCGGCACTTCAAGCAGGATTTGATACGTTCTTCGACGTGACTGCTAGCGTTTACCCCGAACTGATCTTGGAGATAATAAAATCGTGTAAAAACTCCGACGACACGGCAGCGAATGAAGCTCAACAGAAACTATCACATCTTACAAATAAAATCATCGCTAAAGGTTCGTATTTGATTGGTCTTTTTTATTCGCGCAGTCGGGTGTGCCTATCCTTCTTGAGATGTAATGGTTAGTCCACCCTTCAAACTGGAACACAATACTGAGGCAGGGTTGTGGTACGTACCGGTGCGCCTCGACAACCCGTCGGTCGGGCGTCCTCAGGGTGGCGCCGCGTGTCTGGTTGTAGTGTTGACCGCGGGAACCCCCCTACTCTGACCGGATTTTGAACCCGGACGGAGATCGGACGTCGGGTGTAAGAGTACAGGGGAGTCGTTTAGTGGGTGGGCCCTAAAATTCCTTGGGCCCGCGGTCTGCTCTCCACACCTGCAGATCGTTGAGTCCCACATACCCCGCGCGCCCCTTATGCGCGGGGACCTCGTAGGAGGTTCGGCACAGGCCCGAAAAAAAAAAAAGCGTATCGGTGCGGACTTACAAGACTCCCAACCCCCACTAATAGGGATAACTATTTTTTAACCGATTCTTGTCACGATGTTTAGTTTTAATAGTTTTCCGATATTTGGGCGCTGTTGCAGCTATCAAGGTTAAGCAATCTGACCGTTATTTGTACAATAAAATACACTAGAGGATTTTCTGGAATTATAGCACCAAATGAGAATATAAAATGACGCAACGAAAGGTGCATTGAATAATCTTTTCCTATTTTTCATACGTTTTATTTTGGTATAAATACCTACGTATACGATATAAATTTGTACCGCTTTTTTTCATATTTTAGAACCACTTGATTGAATTGGACACATTTTTGGTAATGGTGTTATATTATTATAATTTTGAATCCACATCTTTAGATCCATATGGATTATCTCTACGTTACGGTCACGTAATTTCCTTGAATAAAAACAGAACAATTTTATCCTTCAAGTCTTTAATCTTATACCTTTAAACGAGCAATTCTTGTATATACCTATGTATATAATCTGAATCTCGGAAACGGCTCCAACGATTTTCATAAAATTTAGTATACAGGGGATTTCGGGGGCGGTAAATCGATCTAGCTACGATTTATTTTCAGAATATGTTGTTTTATTCGTGTTTTCAATAATCAACTCTTCCCGGCATCTATTGGCGAATAATAATACTATTTTTCTTAATTGAGGGCAACCAACCAAGATGGCGTTATCAAAAAAAGGTCATCATCTAGTTAGCCTTAAACAGCACTTTTGTTTGAAATCTCAATGTAGTCGTAGAGACAGACAAATGTGAAATGTCGTGTGACCTTCAAATTAACGTCTAAAAATCATTCTCTCCCAGGCGGAGTCATACCAGGCTTAAAAGCAGCTGCCGAAATCGTTACCGGTTACAAATTCGGGGACCCCAGACAGCCCCTGCAGCCAGTCTCCCAAGAAGACAAGAATGATATCAAGACCATCTTAGAAGAAAACGGGTGCAGAATCTCCGCATTTTAGTTCTAATTTTCGAATCACGAAAATAAATTCGCTTGCAAGATTTATGTTATGTTTCTTTTTTCCTGTTATTTATTCTGTTTTTATTGGCCGTTATAGAGAGATTTTTAGCCTAAAGGATAAGACGGCCACTCATTTCAAGTGATGGAACCTGTCCCGTGATTCAAATTCCGGTACTCTTATAAGTAAATACGCATCTGACATGTATTTACCAATAACCGTCACAATGAAGAAGCAATCGTGCTGTAAAAATCAGAACCACAGCATTCATTCGCGTATATGACAACCTCACGGTCCACTGGTGAATCTTATTGCCGAAGCCTATAGACTTCACAGCGCGAAGATCGGACGGTCTATGAGGCAGAAAGGTTCTTGAATGGAGACCACGTACTGGCAAGCGCAGTGTGGGAGGGCCACCTATCGGATAAACCGACCTAGTGAAAATCGCTAAGTCACGTTGGATGCAGGTGCCAATGAAAGCATATGTTTAGCAGTGGAGAGCTTGTGAGTCCGCACGGGTAGGTGCTACCACCCCGCCTATTTCTGCCGTGAAGCAGTAATGCATTTCGGTTTGAAGGGTGGGGTAGCCGTGGTAACTATACTGAGACCTTAGAACTTAATCACAAGGTGGTTGGCGCATTTACGTTATAGATGTCTATGGGCTCCAGTAACCAATTAACACGAGGTGGGCTGTGAGCTTTGTCTACCTACCTAAGCAATAAAAAAAAACCCGTCTTTCCGGGGGGTGTTGGAAAAGGCAACCTATGGATTAACCGGATAATGAGCAGTAGCGTTTGAGTACTAGTGTACTGTATGCTTAATGCGAGTTTTTTAACGTTCTCGATAACGTAAAAGTTAACTCAAATTTGTATGCAGTTGGAACAGCGCCCCTAGCGGCAAACATAAGCAAACGTTCCAACTCCACACAAATTTGAGTTAACTTTCAATACCCCCGGAAAGAGATGGGGTGATGCTATTCTAAGCTGACACCACACACACTTAATTGCTTCTGGATGCTCACAACCTTAACTCGCCGGAGTAGGTAGGTCTCTTATTGTTATTATATCTTAAATATTAAGTATATTATATATGCAATATACAGGGTACACTACTATAGTATATTATACAAAGATATACGTATTAAGTAATACGTTTTTAATTACATTCTAATTTATTATATGTTTGTTGCCCAATGTGTCGCAATGATTAAAAACTGACTTACTTTATTTTCCTTTTTTTTTCCTACCTATTCTAATAACCTGAGGGGTTATTCTAGATTCGCCGAGCTTGTAGGTGAGCTCGCGGTGCTCAAATCTGACGACGTTGCTAGCATGGATCCTAGCAAGAGCTGTGATTCGCAGAATCTACCACCGGATCGGAAAGGCGACCCACTGAGAAGATCCGGCGTGAAACTTAGTGGGCTGTGTCTGTGGGTTCATTTACTCGAACGATGACCGGTTATTACATAGTGTGATCATGACGTATACAAAGATGTTTTTCGAATTAGGATATTGAACATACAAAAACATTGTCTCACGTTTTCAGAGCCCTTAATATACCAAATATGAAATGAGGTCGCGATAACTAAGACAGAAAGATATCCTTTACTTCGAAACCAAACAATCACCTGAATTGTGGTTTTTGTTATATAATAATATTATTGATGTGTATCAGTCGACAATCTACGAGCGTGGTCTAGTAATGAGGAACCTGATACTTCTTAAAATACGAATATGGTACATATCCTGTATTTAAAATTTCAATATAATTATTTCTCGTTCGAGCAGATAGTAAATTTTTCATAATTAAATAAGTATCTTCGCAGCACTTTTTTACTGATGGTACGACCTCTTGTGAGTCCGCACGGGTAGGTGGTATCACCACCCCGCCTATTTCTGCCGTGAAGCAGTAATGCGTTTCGGTCTGAAGGGTGGTGTAGCCGTTGTAACTATACTGAGATCTTAGAACTATAGAAGATATAGTCTCAAGGTGAGTGGCGAATTTACGTTATAGATGTCTATGGGCTCCAGTAACCACTTAACACCAGGTGGGCTGTGAGCTCGCCACCCAACTAAGCAAAAAAAAGCTGCGTTCGTCAATATTGTTGAAGGAATGACATGCTAATGAATAAAATAAATCCGGCAAAATTTGCTGTGTGCGTGTTGTGAACACAACACTGGTTTATAGCTAGTGTCTGTGATGCACTCCGAGTATCTGACGACCGGATGACATGACACAGCCTCGTGAGGACGAAAGTCGCAGATGGAGGTGGTCATGACCTTCAGAAATGAGGAACACGACTGAAGCAGGATTACAGACATACGCTTGAGTTTAAAATTTTCCCAAAACTTCAAAAGAAAACAGAAATAAAATCTAAGATATAATTGAATATGCAATTTCGAAAAGAGCACATGTCGCATATTTTGTCAAATACCGTAAAAAAATTTCATATACATGTAGTTTTGAGGCTTACCTACACCCATTTTATAATAATTCCAGTAATTTTCAATTGCTAATTAACACTAAAATATATCTCAAAAGTTAATATTTTACACTGCTTTAGAAAATAATCAGTTTTTTTCATTTACTTTTTTTTTATTGCCCTTGTAGGCAGACGAGCATACGGCCCACCTGATGGTGAGTGGTTACCGTCGCCCATGGACTTCAGCAATGCCAGGGGCAGAGCCAAGCCGCTGCCTACCGCTTAATACTCTCCACAAGCCTCGTTTGAAGAAGGACATGTCATAGAGCTCGGGAAACACCGTGGAGGGGAGCTCATTCCATAGCCGGATGGTACGTGGCAAAAAAGATCTCTGGAAACGCACTGTGGATGACCGCAGTGGCTCCAGGTAGTATGGATGAACTCTACTCCGGTGGCGGGCGGTGCGATGGTAAAAACGAGATGCCGGTATCATCTCGAACAATTCCTCAGAGCACTACTAAACTTACTAAACATTTTACATTTTCAGAGATGTGCCCTTTTCGAAATTGCATATTCAATTATAATGTCTAATTCCGTATCTGTTTAGAATAATTAGAGAATGCGGTTTTACTTCACTATAAAGTTACGTTATATCAAATATCCCTCAGTCTTATTCTATTCTCGTTCAGTAAACGACCGTTGCGGAGTAGTGTAATTGTTTAAAACTGTTTAAAAAATGGTAAGTGTATAAGGTTTGTTTGTTCTTCGTCTGGATGTTTATTATCTATAAATGAGTCGACTATTATCAAAGCCGGCAATGTGACTTTTGGACAATTATTGGTAAATCAGAAAAACGAATTATTGACTTTGTATTTCATTGGCAGTCACAAAACTCTTCTGAACGACATCTTAGATAAATAACAGGTTAAGTATTAACCTTTATTTAATGCATGTTTGGAACCGTATTCTTTGAAGGAGACGATTATATTCAAATCAATCTGTATTGACATATCAATAAATTTTTTTTGTCCCAATGCACAGATTGCCACCTTTGATAATAGACGACTCAAATGTAACGTATATTTTAACGTATGTATGTAAGTATTAGTTGAAAAGGTTGGAGGAGGCCTTTGTCGATTGGCAAACAGATCTGCAGAAAATAAGAAAAATTCAAATAATAGGCTAGATTAAGGTTTAAATAAAATTCAAGTTTTCTATATATTATATTTAGTCATATAGTTGTAATATAGATCTGAATAAAAGGCTATATTATTATTATTATTATTATGTAAGTATGACTGTCTCTGGTACCCATAAGAAAGAAAGAAACAAAGAAATCATTTATTCGCTAAGCATAGTGAAAATGATTTATTACATAAGTTAAAAGCAGCGTGTATGCTTTGTCATTATTTGACATGCGAATTTTAGTCAGTGCAAGATATTATCACTACATAGTATAAAACAAAGTCGCTTTCTGTGTCCCTATAGCTGTCTGTCCCTATGTATGCTTAAATCTTTAAAACTACATAACGGATTTTGATGCGGTTTTTTTTAATAGATAGAGTGATTGAAGAGGAAGGTTTATATGTATAATAACAACTATTAAATAGTGGAAAAATCAATAATAAATTACAGTTTCCGAAGCGAAGCGAGGGCGGGTCGCTAGTGATATTATATAATTTACCATTCATTAATCCATAATTCAAGTAATAATAAAAAAATCCATATATTTTCAATGTCGTCCCTAAGAAAATCATTAACAATTTTCACTAATAATAATAATAATAATAAAACATTTATTTCAGAAAAAATCCATAAAATAATAATAATACAATAGTCAGCACACAAACAGTTCAACAATACAAATAGAAAATTAACAATATACTAATTCAATTAATTAAATATACAAAGGAAATGAATTAGAAACACATAATTATATGAATACAGTAGTAACCACTCTATGTCAATATTAGCTATCATTATGTCAATCAGTTAATAAGATTATCTTTTAGTTTTTTCTTAAAATGAAAATCGTCTAGGTCTCATTTTTTTTTTGGTAGTTTCTTAAATATCCTAACGCTCATACCTAGTATACTATTTTTCATGTAGTCTTTAATGTAGTTTTGGATTTTGGAAAACATAGTATATGGCATAGAATATATATACATATATATAAGGCAGAGAATCCCAATTTGGGGCCGGATGACCGCGCGTGATTGGTTCTTACATATTACCTATTATTTATTATTATAGTTAAACAATTTTCAGGCATCCAACATTGAAGGAATTTTGGCACCGGTGTTCACTCCGATGTACGAAGACGGCGAAGTTAACTATTCTGTGATAGCGGATTATTTGAGTTTTCTAAAACGGAAGAACATAAACGGTATCCTAGGTATGATTCTGAGTTGTTTTGAAATTATTACCCCTTAAAATCTAACACGGCTTTTACTCTGCGGTGCAGTGCGCTTCTGTCGACTGACCCCCGTCCGTGGGTTCGATTCCCACATCAGGCAAACGTTCGTATGATGAATCTCTTTATATGTATACAACATGTTACAAAATTCCACATAAAAAAAATATAAATAATAATCAAAGCCAAAAACACAATGATAATTACGTAAAATAAAGGATAAAGTTAAAATAATCACGCATAATAGGATTTGTGAAGAAGAATATTTAATATTTTGGAGTTTTCGGAGTTTTTGGAGTTTTTAAAAATAAAGTAAAAATACACACAAGGTCAACCAAAAATAGGAGGCATAATATTATACTATACTATATTATAAGCGTAAAATATCCAAAGATACCATTACCAGTTATTTGTAATCGAATTTTATGGGACGTTTATTTTCATAGGAGCAACTCGGTAATAAGGTCACTAATCTCGTCGAAAATTACAGCATGTGAAATTTATGAATACGAAAATAAACTTCCTTAAAAAAGAAAATAATTATGTTTAAAAATCTTGGTTAAAACCAGTTACACAATATTGTTCATAATTTGCGAAGTTGCAGCCACAGAACAAGTATTGCGTAACTTGAATAAATATCCGACCTATAAAGCTAATTACTTACTGATTAATATAAATTAAATACTCATTAGCAACATTACGGTATTACTTTCGAATTGTTCAGAAAACCTCGTTATCTGCACGCACGATTCTCACATAAAATGGCACTAAAGTATGAATAAATTAATGTTAGCCTTAAGGTACCAAAACACGCACGTATAAGACACTCAAACATTTTTAACAAAGTATATATAGTGTTTTTAAAATAGGGAAGTTGTTCGTAATATAACATACGGTACATATAATTATTGGGTATGTTATATCCCAATATATAACCAAAGGTAGGTATTATTATTAAACTTTGAAGTTTATTTTTACTTTGTCTGGAAATAAAGTTTTTTTTTTATAATAATACTTTATTAATAGCCCTTGGAAACATAGAAAAACATGCTTTCAAATACATATTTTTTTTTTTTACCTATGTTGGTAACCTAGGGGTAATATCAGCGTAACAGGGCGAGTAACTCCTCCTTCGCCTTAACTAGTAGGCGAGCTCACGGGATTCTAACATAAGGACGTCGCTAGCACTAGCCCTAGCACGAGCAGTGCTTTGTAAAATCTACCATCGGATCAGAAACGCGACCCACTGAGAAGACCCATCGAGAAACTCAGTGGGCTAAGGTGAATTTTGTAGGATGGAAGCACACAGCTAAAATTTCGACCTCATGTTTAAATGCAAGTTTAAAAAATGGTGTGATATATAAGGGCTCTAGTAATTAAATAGCAGCAGATTCAGAGCCGTGAGCTGTAACTAATGCAATCACAAAAAGGTTAAAACAATTTCACAAGTACCATTTGGTATTCTAACCCAACCAACAGTTGGTGGTACCACCGGAGAAGCAGCATCTCTGAGCTTGCAAGAACGGAAAGACGTACTCAACGCTTGGCTGCAGAGCGCAAGAAGGCACAAAATCAAGGTCATCGCACAGATCGGCGGAATGCCTCTGCCTGATGTCATTGAAATGGTATATATAATTGACTATTTTATTTAAACGCTAACCTAGAAAAAAGTATACCTCACACCGTGATGGTCAATCCGGTAATTTGTATGTTCATGATGATAGAAAAAGTACTTGAAGCGTAACAAAGAAATTCATTTTCGAATTTATAACATTAATTAGTATGGATAATTTTGCATTAAATAACTTATCTTTTGGCTACAATAATTCCTTCTACCTCTAAATAATTACTCGAAAAACCCTAATTACCTTAATTATAATTATATTTAAGTAAAACGTGTGTAATATAAAAATCATCATTAAAGTTAAAAGTTAAATCCAAAATTTGTCTCCTCTCAGGCACAATTCGCTGAAGATGTGGAAGTCGACGCCATCATGACTCTTCCAGAACTTTACTACAAGCCCCGAAACGTAGAGCAGCTGGTCTCCTATTTAGAGACGGTATCTAAGGCGGCACCTACACTACCTTTAATCTACTACCACTTTCCTATGATGAGCGGCGTGGACTGTAAGTAAGCACGTACTCTATATCCCAATTGAATAAGTTTGATAAAAATTTAAATCCTCCGAAAACCGATCGCGCGATGCGTAGCCCTAAATCTAATCTAAATCCAAAAATTAATTACCTAACTCTGCGCTGTCTAAAACTTCGAAAACCATTTTACATTTTTTTATTTTTTTTATTGCTTATATAGGTGGACGAGCTCATAGCCCACCTGGTGTTAAATGGTTACTGGAGCCCATAGACATCTACGACGTAAATACGCCACCCACCTTGAGATATCAGTTCTAAGGTCTCAGTATAGTTACAACGGCTACTCCACCTTTTAAACCGAAACGCATTACTGCTTCATGGCAGAAATAGGTGGGGTGGTGGTACCTACCCGCGCGGACTCACAAGAGGTCCTACCATATAGTGATGTTTCTTTGCCAGTGAACATGAAAAGGTTCTTTGCACTGGCTTCATCGAGGATTCCAAATTTCATGGGAATGAAAGCGGATTTAAACGTTGCTGTAAAAGTCGCTGATTTGCTTGCACCCGATCAGAAAATATTCATGGCTAATCACGTGAGTTATTTTTGATGTTATCTGTACTAAAACAAAGAAATGAAAGAGGCTAATTAGGCGCTGGTCTGATCAAACTAATACGACATTGGACTTCAGCATTAACGTCGCTATCCACTGCGCAGAGGACAGGAATTAATGGAGGAACATAGTCCAGACAAAAATGCTCCGTAAAGGTTAAGACCCTCAGCACTGAAGAACACGATGCAAGGAGGAGGAATACTTCAGAAAATAAATTACTGAGTGCCAAAATCGAGAGCCGCTTCCCCATTAATTTTTAGGGACTAAAATTGTTTATTTTAAATCGTTACCTTATTAAACTAGTAAAAGCTCTTACACCAAACACAGAATCTTTACATTAAAAACGTAACCTGAATAAAATCGAGATGCAAGATTTGTACCCAATAAAATTTAACAATTAGGCTGGTGGTACTAATCTGTGTGGAGCAACAAAGATTGAAAATATCTTGGTAACATTGCAGCATTTAGCGGAAGCGGCACTAATGGGACACGAATCGAGTATTGCAACGGTTACAAACATGTTCCCGGAATTAGTACAAACTATTGTGAATGCCGTGAGCACTGGCGACGTGAACACTGCAAGGAAACTACAGGAGACCCTTAATCGGGCAGTTGATAACATTACTGAACAAGGTTTGCTTTTGTACATATCAATCGTATTTCTATCAATATTTTGTTCATGCCTGTTTAAATGGGTAAGAGAAAGAACTAATTTCACTGTGGTCTCTGTGGTAGACTAGACCAGTGATTACTAAGAAATTTACCTTCAATTGTACCAAAAGATGGACATAGCCCAAAGGATTGCGACGTTGAAGTGGCAGTGGGCAGGGCACATTGCTCGTAGAACGGATTGCGGTTGGGACCGGAATGTTCTTGAGTGGCGACCGCGTACCGGAACACGTAGCGTGGTTAGGCCTCTCACAAGATGGACCGACGACCTATTGAGGTTCGCGGGGATCCGCTGGATGCAGGCAGCGCAGGACCGATCTTTGTGCCGAGGCTTGGCGTCCAGCAGTGGACGTTTGTGGGCTGATAGGAAGGAAAGTACCAAAAGAGGACGAAAAAATAAAGAGTGGCATCCAGAGGTGGCCTTAGCCGCACAACAACTTACACATTTTCAAAACTCAATCCACATAACAATATTACAGTACATTTTAAAAGCAGCATATCTTAAAGTCCCTCAAGGCTTTAATTAAATCGGGCTCAGAGAACATAGGCTCTAACAAACTGGTTAACAGTAGACCGGATCATGTACAAAATTGGGCTGTTTGTAGATAGATATATCGGCTTTTTGCATTAAAAGTGAACAATTTCCAAAAAATATTCGAAATGAGTTAATAAGCGGTTAATATAACATTTGGTATCACCAGTATTTTTCTCATAAATACTGTCAAAAGAGCGTAGTTTAGTTTTTGTTTTTTTAGGTTACCTTTGTTTTGACTACTATTAACCAAATTAATACATAATTTTATCTTACTTTAAAAGACAGCTAATGTTACTGTTTTTTTTTATTGCCTTGATGTGTGGACGAGCTCACAGCCCACCTGGTGTTAAGTGGAACCCATAGACATCTACAACGTAAATGCGCTACACACCTTGAGATATAAGTTCTAAGTTACAACGGCTGCCCCACCCTTCAAACCGAAACGCATTACTGCTTCACGGCAGAAATAGGCGGGGCGGTGGTAACCACCCGCGCGGACTCACAAGAGGTCCTACCACCAATATAAAGTTACGGGTAGAAAACCAGTTACTGGTAAGAAAAGAATGTTGCAAAGTAGATTAATATTAAAAATATTACATGTTAAACCTTTAAAACGCTCTCCTGTAAAATTAGTAAGTTTTGAGATTATACAGTTTTAATGTGAGAAGACGATATTTTGTTAACTAACTGATTTTAAATCGTAAGCATAAAAAGTGTATCATTTCACAGGTGAATTCCTGCCCTGCATGAAATCAGCCATGCCGATGATCACTGGAATCCAAGTGGGCCCGCCGAGACGGCCGCTTTTCGCTGTAGATGAGACAACGAAGAAAAACATAGAAGACAGATTGAAAGCCATAAATATAATTTCCTGAACATAATCTATATATTATTACGTGAAGCAAAAACTTTATGTCCCTTTTTAAGAAAATTGCATAGACGAAGGAGTATGAAATTTTCCACACTTATAAAGATTATAGAGAAGAAGTGCACAATGCTAATATTTTTTTAAAATAATGCATAAAAGATACATTAAATCAATAAAGAAAACGTTACACACACTACATACCATGTATTTGACGCACACACGCATGCATATTGTCAAACTTTTGTTCTTGACGTCTGTTGTCAAATTGAGAATAGAGTAAATATTGTTTGTCTTTGTTAATTAATTAATATTTTTTATGGTGTAGTCTTGGCGAAATTTGTGATTATAGAAGTATAAAATACAATCATAATAGTGTACAAACTTACAATTCCAATTAATTATAGTCGAATTTCGACTACTGCGGGACCTCTAGTTATGATAAATATATAAAAAAAGAGTCATTTCCTTTTAGCTCTTGTTTTGCGTCAGTGGATATACGAACTTCAATTCCTTTGAAAAATACTAAAGAAACAACTTTTGCGTACCGATTTACGTCAAAATTGTGCTTACATTTTAACAAATCACCATACCAATAAGTATTCTAACGTATAGTTCACATTCTCTTCATTTGCTAAAACAGTTGCTAGATATAAATATAAAAAATTAAAGAAAAAGGAAACAAAAACTCTATTAAATAACAAGAAATGTTTTAATAAAATAAATAATTTCATCTTTATTATATATATTTTTTTTGACGTACATTTGTTCAGTATTCGTTAAATGCTACAAAAAATAAAACCGGCAACCAAATTCGTTTTAACGTTTTTTTTTTCTTTCAAATATAGAAACATATTATATTATATCGACGCTTGAAAGCAAAAGTGACTAAGCGACAATAACTGCTTTGTACATAAATGATAGGCAGTAACCATATTCGATGCGCAAAAAAATATATTTCTAGATCTATTAAAATCGTTTCAATCCTACAGCTAGATTCGATAAAATAGATTTGTTTTCAGGTATTTCAACTTTAAATTAGTCTACTGTAAAGTTCACACATTGTCGCTTAGTCACGTTTGCCTTTCAAGCGTTGATATACTGTCTCGTTATTTCAGTCCCGATTTTTAGCTATTCCGGAACCCGCAAATCTAGGCTACATCCAGCGCCCTGAGCCTGCCACGGATCCGCTCTATGGCTTCCGAACTAAGCGGCTTTTGAGGCAGCGAAGGCGCTCCAACTTTGATTCCGGTCACGATTTCCATTCCGGCCTTCATAACGGGTACCCACGGACCTGTCATCACGCATCAGCATTACAGCTCATACAAACACTCGGGTCAGCAGTGTTATTGACAAGACAATTTAACACAATAACCTTTCATTTTTTTCTGGTGGTAGGACCTCTTGTGAGTCCGCGCGGATAGGTACCACCGCCCTGCCTATTTCTGCCGTGAAGCAGTAATGCGTTTCGGTTTGAAGGGTGGGGCAGCCGTTGTAACTATACTGAGATCTTAGAACTTATATCACAAGGTGGGTGGCGCATTTACGTTATAGATGTCTATGGGCTCCAGTAACCACTTAACACCAGGTTTGCTGTGAGCTCGTCCACTCGTCTAAGCAATAAAAAATAAAAAAAAGTGCCACCACCCTCCTTAAAAGTGAGGTTTAAGTCTCAGTTGTAAAGCCCCTGCTCCGCCCCTCAAACCTAAACGCTATGAGCTCCGGTGAGCACTTTACACCAGGCAGTAAGCTCGTCCAACAAACTAGGCAATAGAAAACGAAATGTTAAAAAATTCAAGTTGGTTGTCTTTAGCAACACCCCCAGTCACTATAGGTTAAGTTGTCAAAGTCTACATTAGTATTAAATGTACCTCTTACCTTCCTTGGTTAATGATTCGATCGCCAGACACAGTTTGTGCTGGAGGGCTCTCGCCGTCTCCACGTCCTTATTCTGAACAGCGCTCAGGATAGCGTGAGCTATTTTCGGGAAGAGATTGAAAGACGTCCCGATGCTCGATTTTATGCCGAGCAGGGCCGCCGGTGCTAAAAGCTGCAAGTTTCCGTGCATTGTGAATTTATAAACAAAAAGCTTTTGTGTGTGACACGCGGTGTGCTGGAGCACAGATCTGAATGGTAGCGGGTGGATGAGAGCTCAAGAGCGAGTGTCGTGAGACTACGCACATACAAGCGTAGTGTGTGACGCGCGGTGTGCTTACTCTTTTTCGATGGCTGCATATACACAACTAACATTTTTTTTTATTGCTTAGATGGGTGGACGAGCTTACAGTCCACCTGGTGTTAAGTGGTTACTGGAGCCCATAGACATCTACAACGTTAATGCGCCACCCACCTTAAGATATAAGTTCTAAGGGTCTCAAGTATAATTACAACGGCTGTCCCACCCTTCAAACCGAAACGCATTACTCTTCACAGTAGAAATAGGCAGGGTGGTGGTACCTACCCGCGCCGACTCTAAAAGGTCCTACCACCAGTAATTATGCAAATTAAAATTTGCGGGTTTGATTTTTATTACTCGATATTATTCCTTCAAAGTGGAAGTCAATCGAGAACATTTGTTGAGTACGTATTTCATTTGAAAAATTGCTACCCGCCTGGGATTTGAACACCAGTGCATCGCTCAACACGAATGCACCGGACGTCTTATCCTATAGGCCACGACTTCAAGGGATCAGAGATTTGATATTAAGTAAGATTGGTCATTACCGTGTCCGCTCCAAGGAATAGTGCCTTCTTCTCGGACATGGCACGAAGCACTTGAGACGCTTCGCTCAAATCGTTCGAAGTGAACTTGATGCCTGCGAAATTGGGTATTTTCTTTGAGGCCTCCGTGACGAAGGCAGGCATGTTAACTGAAAGAGTTGAAATGCAACTGTAAATCAAACGTATAATCGGAGACATGACGTGTGCTCAGTGCGAGTCTTTTAACGTTCTCGATAGCGTAGAAGTTAACTCAAATTTGTATGGAGTTGGAACAGCGCCCCTAGCGGCAAACGTAGGCAAACATTCCGACTCCATACAAATATGAGTTAACTTTTACGCTATCGAGATCGTTAAAAAACTCGCATTGAGCATACAGTACACTAGTACTCAAACGCTACTGCTCATTATCCGGTGAATCCATAGGCTGCCTTTTCCAACACCCTCCGGAAAAAGATGGGGTGATGCTATTCTAATCTGACACCACACACACATAATTGCTTCTGGATGCTCACAAAGTTATCTCGCCGGAGTAGGCAGGTCTTTTATTATTATTATATCTTAAATATTAAGTATATTATATATGCAATACAGGGTACACTGCTATATACAAAGATATACGTACCAAGTAATACGTTTTTAATTACATTCTAATTTATTATATGTTTGTTGCCCAATTTGTCGCAATGATTAAAAACTTACTTACTTTACTTTCCTTTTTTTTTCCTCGCAAAAACTCGCATTAAGTATCTACACTGTGAAAATAATATTACAACTTACTCTCAACCCGAGTCATGCTGGGAATGTGGTAATATAGCACAGGCAATTTCGGTGCCGCGCCAGCTACCAGGGCAACGTAAGACACCAGTTCATCGACATTGCTCGGTTTGAAGTATAGTTCCGGTAGTGTGAGAATCGAACCAACGCCATTTTTTTGACAGAACGCCGCCTAAGAGAAAAACTACGTATGTATTACGATATGAAAAAATAAACCTTAAAAAGATTAGAGTTCTGGCTGTTTTTTTGTTTTTTCTTTTTGTATTTATGGCTTACTACAATGTAAACTCGATTTTTTTTTTACTTTTTGGCGTAAACTCTAGGAACGAAGGTGTTTGAATTATTTTGGTTTGTTAACTTAGTATTTCTTCGTGTTTAAATGTATAATAACGGTAGTTTAATAACTGTTGAGCGTCTGTGAAAGTGCAAAAAAGGTTGGAAAATGAAACAAATACAATTGAACATGGCGCCTCGGGTTCTCTCAAAAACTCCGATGAAGCCACAGTAAGCAACCACCATTTTATTGAGATTTTATTTCGTTCCATTTCATCTCCTTTCATTTAATTTCGTCCCAATTTATTAGAGTCCTATTTTTTTTTATTGCTTAGATGGGTGGACGAGCTGACAGCCCATCTGGTGTTAAGCGGTTACTAGAGCCCATAGACATCTACTAACAAAATGCGCCACCCATCTTGAGATATAAGTTCTAAGGTCTCAAGTATAGTTAAAACTGCTGCCTCACCCTTAAAACGGAAACGCATTACTGCTTCACGGCAGAAATAGGCAGGGTGGTGGTACCTAGCCCCGCGGGCTCACAAGTGGTCCTACCACCAGTGATTACGCAAATTATAATTTTGCGGGTTTTGATTTTTATTACACAACTAGCGACCCGCCCTCGCTTCGCTTCGGAAACATTAAAACACACATGAAACCAAAAAAATAAATAAAAAAAAAAAAAAAAAAAAGTAGCCTATGTTCATCAGGGACAATGTCGGCTTCTAATGTAAAAAGAATTTTTCAAATCGGTCCAGTAGTTTCGGAGCCTATTCGAAACAAACAAACAAACAAATCTTTCCTCTTTATAATATTAGTAAAGATATTATTCCTTCACCGTGGAAGTCAATCGTGAACATTTGTTAAGTACGTATTTCATTAGCAAAACTGGTACCCGTCTGCGGGATCCGAACACCGTTGCATCGCTCGACACGAATGCACCGGACGTTTTGTTCTTTAGGCCACGACGACATGAAAACTGATCTTTTTCTAATTTCAAAAATTTCATTAATGGATAAATTGGTCAAGCAAAATGTCCATCTGCAGCATTTTACACAATTACATCTCTTGTTTTTTAACGCTTTTACCTAAGTCACCATTATGTTTATCGCGTCTCGTACATTGTCAGTTTCGGTGAAAAAACATTTGATAAAATTCCCCTTGAGAACAACAATCGCGGTGTTTTATGATAATAATAAAATAACAACACCGCGTCGATATCACGATGTTGGGGTCTTTGTTGAAGACGTTATGTGACATTATCACGAGATAAAATGAAATACACTTAACATTAAATGTTTATCAATATTACGTATCCAATTTATATGATATATTTTTTTTTCTCTACCTGTTCACTGGTAGCCTAATGGACTCAACTTGAAAGAATTTACTAAGACCAGCCCTAACAAGAGCAGTGCTTCGCAGAATTGACCACCGAATCGGAATCGCGACTCGCTAAGAAGATCCGGCGAGAAACTCAGTGGGCTGTGTCTATGGGTTAACTTACTCTTTTTTTTCCTACGTAGCTGAGAGCCTTGAGAGGCTATTTCAATGTAACCTTAACTAGTAGGTGAGCTCACGGGGCTCAAACCTGACGACGTTGCTAACACGAACCCTAGCAAGTGCTGTGCTTCGCAGAATCTACCACCGGATCGGAAACGCGACCCACTGAGAAGATCCGGCGAGAAACTCAGTGGGCTCTGTCTGAGGGTTAACTTACTCCTCGAGCCCTTCGTCGCCCCTCGTTCGGCGAGAACGGTGACCGGTGCTTGAGGTGCCTAAAAGGAGGTACCTAAAAGCACCGTTAGTGGATCGGGGGATCCAAAATGACGTGTTTAGGGCGACGTCGACCGCTTTCTATTCTGTCCGCAGGATCGGGAATGTAGTTACCGGCAGCCACGGTGAGAGGGTTTTCATGTCGTGCCGCTTTATCGAAGTGGAATTTACTCGCCGAGCCCTTCGTTACAAGCGACGGGTTCGGCGAGGACGGTGACCGGAGTCAGAATTCTTATAAGAGATTTTTCGCTATTGACTCTGTGGAGGTACACACGACAAAGGGAAGATCTTTCACCAAGCGGGTTATATTAGTCGATAGACCGACAGTCCGAATATTGTTGTTCGGAACTTGTTTAAATGCAAGCTTATCTTGAAAATGTCGTAAGCGAGATTCAGGCATCTGTCAAATATCTTGTGTTCTATGATGGGTATCCGCCATAGCTTCGTTACTCGGCCCGCTGAGTTTCTCGCCGGATCTTCTCAGTGGGTCTCTCACGATTCCGATCCGGTAGTAGATTCATTTGCGAAGCAATTGCTCTTGAGTTGTTAGGTCTCCTTCGGAGGCGGTCGGGCAGTTACTAGCAAATCCTACCCCTCCTGGCTGAGCCTTTGCTCGCCCACCTGTCCTGGTGAAACTGGAAAGGCCTCCGGGCCACCAGTAATCTTTCAAACATAAAAAAGCCTCATTGTTGAATTTGTTCGTTCTGTTAAGCAGAACTATTAAAAAATATATTTTAAAGAACAAGATTTAATTATTAAATTGAATACTTCTTTTAGCGTATCGAAATAACATTCAAAAAGGATATTAATTTAGAAATTGCACTGAGAATCTAGAGTGAGAGTTGTAGGTACTGAGAAACTTTACATACAAAGTTGAGATATAACAATTCGAATATTACGTAACGAATGTCATGTTTTCGCTAAGATGTTCAATGTTATTTATATTATTGTTATATTTTTTTTGTTTTATCTCAATACGATAACATGAGCCAAAGATAAAACGCAAGTAAGACCGAGAAAAATACTCGGCTATTCGTGTTTTCATTGATTTCGTTTATATGTTTTTAGTTTACTTACATAATCTATGAGTATGATTATTGAATTAATCAAATTGTTTTAAAATAATAAAAACAAAATGTGTGCAATTCACACGTGGTAGAAGTGAAACCTTCCAAAATTAAAATACAATTATCCTAAACGTCTTAAGTATATGTAAAATTTTGTCATTAGTAAATAATTGTAAGGTAGCGCCCTCTGTGAATTGATATTTTAATTTCACGTATAATCCTAAATTAAAATTCACTGCAAGAGCTTTCATACACACGTTAGAATTAAAAAATCTCACAGATGGCGCTGTATTAAATAGTATGTATATTTCTGTCTCATTCTTTGCTGGCTTGATCCTACACATTTTTGTATTTGTGTCTCTTACCTGTCGTTTTTTCCGTTGCATCCGGTTTGAAATCACAACGATTCTAAAGAAGTTTTCACTTCAATAAATTGTTTTAGTGTTTCCATTAATAATATGCTTGTTTTTTTTTAAAAATACATTATTGCTCTCCTCTGACATTGAGTAGTTTTGTCATGAAGCCTATAAACAATTTTTTTTACTGTTTTTTACACTGTAATATACCGTGGCAAATGCTGGAATCAAACTAGCCTGTAGGTAAAAGGTTTTCGTCAATGTTGAGTTTTGGGGGTTCGAAAAGTTGTTATTTGGGTCTTTCTCAAATTCCACTTCGCCAATGTGGCGTCTCAATTCAGGATCAATATACTAAATTCGATTGGTGAGTTTCTCTCTGGCATACCCCGAGTGTGTTATTTGGCAATGTTAAAGTTAATCTACATATTGACAACCAATAAAGTACTTGAGTTTAATAAATTTGAATTAAAAATAGTGTAAGAAAAAATATTTTATTGTAAAAAAAAGCGTGGGGCGCATGGTATCAGTAGTTATAAATATTTTATGAACAGATATGAGTAGAAGGGTTATTTTGATAATATCATTTTTTTCTTACACTATTTTCAATTCAAATTTATTAAAATTTATTTTCTATTTTTTAGTTGGATTTTCTATAAAAGCGCATTTTGTTAGTTTTTTTAAACTATTATTTATTTTTCATTTTTTAATTGAATTTCAAAGTTTCCATTTTTTTTTTTTAATATTACATTGTAATCGGTCTTTAATAAGTATACCAAATTTTGAGTTAATCCGATGTTTTGAAGGGGGTCAAAATCATGTTCAAAGATTCCGTTACAAACATACATACGTCTGAAGCTAATAAAAGCGTATTAAAAAGATGTGTAAGAACTCACCAATTCCTGCACGTCAGGGAGTGGTGCACCACCGACTTGTACCTGTATGTGGAGACCAGTGCTCCTTCCCGCTTTCACCCATTCTTCGATAACTTTCTTCCTGTCTGCTACATTCAGAGACATATGCTCGCCTGTCGTACCACCAACTGGAGCGAGAAAAATGAACGCATCATTCATTTACTTAAAATACCACCATCCCTAATCGGTACAGAGTGGTGAGAAAACGAAATGAGTTTGGACCACTAGTTCAGTTTCCGAACGTCAAAATGTTAGCGAGCGACGTCCGCCATGACACCAATTCTCTTTTTGAAATCCAGCCGCCAAAAGCAACGCATCCATTTTATATTTAGTCTTTAATTTCTCATTTAACGGTACATTAGATGTCTCAAAACAATAAATACAGTACACGCTCAATTATCACAAGAACACCGCTACCTATCGTGAACTAAAAACCATTTTCATTCATTATTTTGCATAGTTAAATGAACAATTTCACAGTCCACATCTTAAGTGGTCATCGGAATCCATAGGCATGATAACGTGAAGCTTAAAACACGAGATCAAAGTCTCAATAGTATTGTATACCAGCCCCAATTCCACAACAATTCCCCAATTCCTACAAGCGCATTAGGTACTGCTTCAAGTCAATTTTCGCAAATGATTTGTCGTCGTCGTGGCCTAAAGGATAAGACGTCCGGTGCACTCGTGTTTCGAATCCCAGGCGGGTACCAATTTTTGTAATCAATAAATATTCACAATTGACTTCCACGGTGAAGGAATAACATCGTGTAATAAAAATCAAACCCGCAAAATTATAATTTGCGTAATTACTGGTCGTAGGATCTCTTGTGAGTCCGCGCGAAGGGTGGAGCAGCCATTGTAACTATACTTGAGACCTTAGAACTTATATCTCAAGGTGGGCGACGGCATTTACGTTGTAGATATCTATGGACTCCGGTAACCACTTAACACCAGGTGGACTGTGAGCTCGTCCACCCATCTATGCAATAAAAAAAATTGTTTTTGCAAACTTTCAATTAATGTTGGTTTAATTCGATTATCAATACGTTTGATGTATTAGTTATTAGGGAGATATGATTGTGATAACAGATACGAAGAAATACAGCGCTCTGTTAAAAAATCCGAGTAGGTACAACTTTAAAGCAAACATTTAGCATAATCCAATATCATGAGACAGCTGATTGTTTTTATTACAAAAAGCCGTCCAAAACGACATCTTTAAGTATGTATCTATGTGTCTAAAAACATGGTTTCATGAAAAAAAATATGATTAATACCGAGTACACATTTGAAGCCAGCTTCCGCCATATATTTGGCATATCCAGGTATAGCCGCATAGTTGATTGTGAGATCATCGTTCAGCGGTGTGAAGACCGGGGGCATCAAACCACGTGTTTCAAAGTCAATCTGTCAACACATACGCGTTAAAATAATTTTAAGATTGACCACTCATAGTGACTCATACAGGTTAATGACCAGAGTCACTCAGAATAAATATCCCTATGTAATTTAAAAACAAAAGTAAAACACGTTTATATAGCAACAGCGAACCGAACTTATGGCTAACTTCAGCTTCACCCTGTTGATGATACCGGTCAAGATCAGAGTGAAATTATCAGTCAAAATGTTGTCCAAAAATATTAATATAAATTACATAAAAATATTCATAATACCTATGTTACATAATTATCAAGCTTATAGGAGCGTGTTCAAAAAATATGCAAATAAGCACTAGGGTATTTTTTTATTATTATATTGGTATACTTTGGTATATGATAAAGTATTATCTGCACTAAGCAGTAACAGACGACTTTGAAATGATTGAGATGTATTTGTTCAAAGCCCATTACAGTTATTGCGTTCATGATGTTTTTCTTGTTTTTCTTAGATGGGTGGACGAGCTCACAGCCCACCTGGTGTTAAGTGGTTACTGGAGCCCATAGACATCTACAACGTAAGTGCGCCACCCACCTCGAGATATAAGTTCTAAGATCTCAGTATAGTTACAACGGCTGCCCCACCCTTCGAACCGAAACACATTACTGCTTCACGGCGGAAATAGGCGGGGTGGTGGTACCTACCCGCGCGGACTCACAAGAGGTCCTACCACCAGTTTTATCCTAAGCTCTTATTATCATGCTGTATATTCCCATCGTGAATCACAAGACCGGTTGAATTTTCTATCTCACGTTTTAAAGTAACTGTGAACTTGTTCACGAAGCTACTAAAATAAAAAATAGTAGTTCAACCCCTTATTGCTCACCACTTAATTTTTCAAACGAGTTTGAAAAACAATATTTAGCTCTAGGCATCCCTTGGCGTTGCTAACGTCCTTGGACGAATCTGATTATTAATTGGACCATATGGTCGTCTACCTTCAAAGAAACATACTAATTGAAAATGTATATAACAAGGAAGATTGCAATCACATAAAAACAAAAAATAATTACATATATAAATTTAAAGACAATAAAAAAATATTAAAGCTAGTAAATAAATTACTTGAATAGCTCTAAAAATGACGACACCGTGAATTTTTTAATATCACCCACACGAAAATAAAAAACCGCGCGAACCATTCATTGTCATACGTCACAAGTCTTGCAGGTCGCCCTGTGCGGGGCGGGACGCACTAGAACTGGTTATCTCGGCAAGGAGATGCGTGTTTTATGCTCGCATTCTCAGACGTGGTGGATGTATGTTGTATTGCAATTCTTATATTTTTTATTATACTGGTATATAAAAAAGCTATTTTAGGCTATTGACGTTAAGTTTTCACGATGGAGATTGCATTTGTACGCGGACAGTCTAATAATTTGTAGGTTATTAATAGGTTGACATGGGTATGGTTTTAGACTTTTTGACTAAAAATCCGTTGTATACAAGTGCAGAAATCGTAAAGATTTCAGAGTGAGTAACTACCTACATACCTACCTACTTAATATTTTATCTGCCGTGCATACTTTAACATCTTATTTATTACCGTTTTATTTGTATTTTGGTAAGAAACTATCTACGGAATCTGACTTAGTACTAAATAAGTCAGTGCAGTCCAACAATATTTTGTATAACTACCTAGTATAGTATCATTAAACACCTTAAAATAGATTTCTGTTTGTTATTAGCCGCTTTGTTCCATTCAACAAATAAACAAAACAACAAATCGGCACAAAAATCCCTCTTGAAGTGAGCTTGACCGCCTTGAACCGAACCCGCCCCACCAGTGATAAGTGGCAACTTGGTGACCCATCGTAGATATTGACAAACAACAAATATTTATTTAGGTACTCTACGAGGGCTGCACTAAAAGTATCGGGAATGGAATATTTCCACTGTTCCTGTCATATTAAAATCTTTTTAGTTGAAAACTCCTTGGTTTTAAAAATCGAATACCATTTATTTATTTTAAAAAAGATTCTCGGTCTTGTCACGAGGTTTTGTCAAACTTGTTTAGTCGTTGAGAAAATGGAATTGACTCGAGAAAATTCAAGAGCGATGCTTTATTATGACTTTCGAAGTGGTTTAACACAAAAACAGTGTGTTGACCGGATGATTTCTGCATTTGGTGATGAAGCCCCATACAAAACCACAATTTATCGCTGGTTTGCTGAGTTTCAACGTGTCAAGCTCAGTGATGATCCCCGTCAAGGTCGTCCAAAAACTGCAGTCACCCAAGAAAACGTTGATGCTGTGCGTAAGCTGATCGAGAAAGATCGACATGTGACATACCGCGAAATTCAGACAACTTTAGACATTGGCATGAGTCAAATACAAATAGTCTTGCATGAACAATTAGGTGTAAAAAAGTTGTTTTCCCGATGGATACCGCATTCGCTCTGTGAAGAGCAAAAAGCGGCTCGCGTTACTTGGTTCGTCAGAACTCTCGAAAGATTCCACGCAGGATCCTCAAATGCTGTATACAACATTGTATCAGGTGACGAATTCTGGATATACGCGTACGAACCCGAAACAAAAAACCAGTCTCGAGTTTGGGTGTTCGAAAATGAGTTAAAGCCAACAAAAATTGTTCGTTCACGGAATCTTGCAAAAAAAATGGTGGCCACGTTTGTCTCCAAAACCGGCCATGTTACGACTATTCCTCTTGAGGGACAAAGAACGGTTAATGCAGAATGGTATGCTAGTATTTGTTTGCCACAGGTCGTTTCTGAACTCCGTAAAGAGAACTGCAACCGCCGCATCATCCTCTATCACGACAATGCGAGTTCTCACACCGCGCACAGAACAAAAGAGTTTTTAGAGCAAGAAAACATAGAACTATTAGACCATCCGCCGTACAGCCCCGACCTAAGCCCTAATGATTTCTATACTTTCCCTAAAATAAAGAATAAATTGCGTGGACAGAGATTTTCATCACCTGAAGAAGCTGTGGACGCCTACAAAATGGCCATTTTGTAGACCCCAACTTCCGAATGGAATGGTTGCTTCAATGATTGGTTCCATCGTATGGAAAAATGTGTCAAATTTCGCGGAGAATACTTCGAAAAGCAATAAATACATTTTTAAATAGTAATGTTGGGTCACTTCGTTAATTCCCGAAATTTTCAGTGCCGCCTAGATAGATCTAGATTTAACCAATACAGATGTGCTCGAGAAAGCTACGATTACAACGCCATTGGCTATGTATAGATGCAAAGAGAAGGCTAACTATGCACGGTAAAAGCTAGAATAACTCCAGAGCATAAATTTAGGAGCAAGCCATGTCGTTGTACATTTGTATGTAATAAAGAGACTGTACAGGTTATAAGCGTATGTTGCGGAAAAAATGTATTCAAAAAGTTTTAATGTTGTAAGTTAGAATATAATCACGTTTTGAGTAAAAGGTTATTGTTTTATTAAAACGGCTCTGCAAGTTCTAATACACATGCTATTAATAAAATGTTATCAAAGAAAGGCAGCATTTTCACGTTTACACATGCATGTGGTGGAAACATTTTAAAATCTCGCAATCTTCCTATCGATCTTTCAACGTGTATTCGAACAGCAGCAATCCTTTTTGTATCAATTACTTCTGTTTTGTCACTGATAGTACCAGAACAGATAGTACTTGGTCTAACAAGCCGGCGTCTCTTCCTCTCTACTATGGAGGTGATATGTTTAAATCCCTTGTCTGCTAAAATGGTTGATCCTGTCGGTATCTTATCGGTTATATTGCAATCTTCAAACAAAGTATCGTCGTCCACTCTTCCACCATAACCACCAGATATAAAGCTTATAAATCCGTTGGGTGCTATTGAGATAAGAAATTTCAAATTTCCCTTATAATTGGACCAAGTTAATGACTGGTGAATTGCATTACTAGGCTGTTAATTCGAACTTCAAAGCAGTCAATAATGCTTTGGGTTTTAAAGAAACGAGTTCGAAATGCCATAGGCAAATTAGTTGCGACATCTGCTTGTTCGGGAAAATATATTAACTCTCATAAAATGTGATAAAGGCGATAAAGTTTTTCCAATAACTTTTGCAACCCTTTCCAAGCCCAAAATCTATAAATAATCGAGAATACGGATCATTCAGTCTTTTTTTTTTTAAATTATCAGGATGTCTACCTGAGGTCGTTGAACATTATTAACTAAAGTCTCTATCAAAAAGTAAGTGTCTTTGGAAAGCCTGTGATTAAGATCTGTGAATTCGTCGCATGAGTTTCCACTGAAAGAGACCGACAGATTAACAATATCTGAAGTTTCTATAATAACGTCACTCACTAATGTCGTTGCCTTGGAGTATTTCATTGCCTGAAGATTTAATATTTTTCTGCCTGAATTTTGTTTGACATCCTTTATTTTTTTTTTGTCCATTATATGTACTTGTGTGCCCTTCTTTTTTGTTTTTATTTTCACACTGGCTTCCATATCCACATCAAAACAGTCCATTGGCACAAAAATAGGACTGTCAGGATCTTTAATTACTTCATCACTTTGAACACATTCAATAAATTCTATGGGTTTTTGGGCAACAGAGGCTGGAACTTCCTTTGAAAGTACTTTTTCATAATACTCTGCTCGACGACGCTTCGCAACTGCAGACCGTTCTTGAAGCAAACTTATGAGGTATAACGTCTTTTTTCAGAAGTAGTCTGCCACCAGCAAATCGATGTCTCATAAAGTTTTGAGTGTCGTTGTCGACCTAAAAAATAAAATTACAGAACAGAACGTACTAAACTCTTGCAATAGCTTGCAAGTAAAACAATAATTTCCAATAAAAATAAATAAGTACCTAAGGAATTGAAAATCTGTCCTTTTTGGCTATTAATAGGAAGGTTCGTACTATACAATAGAGGTCCGTTGTCACATATAATTTTTAATGTTTCAAAATAATCGCTAAGTTTACGAATTTAAAATGTAATTAAAGTATCTCCCTTAATAAATTTATAATTATATGAGTAGGTAAGTAATAATAGATGTGTAGCGTGCAACATTCGGTAGCACTCGGGCGTCATCGGACGCGATCGGATTTCCCGAACGCGCAGGTGTCCCGTGACGTCATGCAACGAGATTCGCGTGCCTCGATTTAAGTTAAATTTAAAACGTAATTTTAGTTTTAATTTGTATCTTCTAGTGCCTATATAGCGTTGTTTACTTTACTTTTGGTTTATATTTTAATACTGTACACATTATAGATATTGTTGAATTGGTGTGTTTGACTTGTATATGTTCGCAGTAAAATATCCCGCAAATACGAGGGACAAATAACAAACCACAGATAAATAGATACTGACATAGATACTTACATCAAAATGGTCTTCACAGCAATACCGTACTGATTTTTCTGATAAAAATTCCTTTCTATTCATAATTTTGCACCACTTATCTCTTATTTTTTTCTGTTTTGGTACCGTAAAAAAATGCTTATCAGGAGCAGTTACAGTCGTGTTCGTACACAAAGGCACGATGCAGTATTTATAATGTATTTTAGTTTTAGTTTCCATGATAATACCTGATATTGTGTTGCGCTAACAAGTACTAAAAGCACATTAGCACACTGCGGCGAACAGTCGCATAGTCAGTCAAGCGTCGTCCCGAGACGGGCGAGACTTGTGACGTCAGCGCTAGGCCGACCGGTCGCGCGTCATACGATTTCAAAATGGAAGGGAAAAGCATCCGAACTCCGTCATTTATGAAGATAATTGAAAAAAAAACACTAGGATTTATTGCAGTCTTAGTGTGATATTTAAAAAAGAAAACTGAAAAAATGGAAACTTCCTTATTGTAAAATATAACAGCAACAGAGAGCAATAGGAGTGCAGATAAGAGATTGCAATATCGATTACATATTCGATATTTTAAAAATGTTAAATTAAAATCAAATATTTACCAAGCAATTTATTTACGTAGGTATTACATCTTATTATATATGATTATTTATTGGTTTTCAAGATATTATATAGTTTATATTATTATATTTTATATTATATGGTTTATAAGATATTATAGACAATATTCTTCTTTCATTTAAATGAATTTTATTGGCTTTAATACCTACTATCATAATTTTAAAGATCATTAATAACTAATGACCTTTGAAAATAATTTTAGAATCTTGGCTTAATCAACTGGCCAGTATCACAAATAACGTATTCTTTTGGCATTAAAATTATCTATTATTTTAGAAACATCGATTTAGTATCATCGATCATTCGGGGTCGCCGTTCCCAACTGTCGAGAGAAATCTAGTAGAACTAGCATAAACATTATTGAGTTAGTGACATTATGCATTAGACTCTAGACTCTAGTGCATACCTAATGACACTGCCCAGTGTACACTGAATGTTAATAAACTATAGTTTAACCTATTATACCTGTTATTTAGGCTTTCCAGGCCCTATTAATTTAATTAGCCCGTAAATGTACCTATCTAGATTGGAAAGTCCTGATTTAGTTGTTGTTCATTGTCAAATCATCTATATCAATATCTAATTAAATTCAATAATCCAAAATATTGACAACGCTAACAACTTGCAAGCATCTTTTTAAACTATATTATTTAAGAAGCAGTTTCTTGAATAAATTAATATTGTTTTCTTTAGAATTGTCCGTTTAAAAATACAACAATATACGTATTGTTTATAGGTATTTTAAAATAATAAAATTGATAAAGATAGGTAGCAATTATTTATTTACCTTCAGTAATACATCTTATCTATAACTTACCATTTTCTTCAAAAAACACGACCGTCACGCTCACAACAGGCAATGAAACTAAGGCAAACTAACAGTACAAAAGAATTTTATGTGTGTTATCTATGCACTTCAAATTATTAAACAAGATATTGTTATTTCAGATAATAATATGTACTTTAAAACTAAACTTATACAATATAGACTATATTATATAGACAATAATACGTGTACAGCATCACGACCTTCCAACACCTTCTCCTGATGTTCATTCATGTTGCCGAGACACGTTTCTATACATGCATTAATCTTGCACAGTGTCTTTCAAATTTTACTTTTGACAATGGTTTCATCATAAACAATTATACGTGTACAGCATCACGACCTTCCAACAGTTATATTGCCTATTCTATACTGCTTGCGGCCCGTGGACGATATTTATGTGGCCCGCGGCAGAAAAAAAATACTGATATAATATATTTACCATTTTTTTTCCTTACAAACATGTTTTCACGCCTATTCCTAATTAATAAGCTACCCACGTTGCATAAATAATAATTTTAATTCATTTATCCATGGGACAATCGCCTTTTGACAATTGTTATTAAGTCAATTGCCTGATGAATACTGAAAGAATTTTTGAAATCGGACCAGTAGTTCCTAAGATTAGCGCGTTCAACCAAACAAACAAACAAACTCTCCAGCTTTATAATAATAATATAGATTAATCCGAACTTTTTATTTGCGTTTCGTTTTGAGATTATTTTTACGATTTATAATAACTGAACAGTAACCCATTCTTCTAATAGGCCACAATTTTGTTTCCAAGACAGCTTGAGTTTAATCTGCCCTTACGTACCAATATTCCAATAAAACGCAAAATGCGAAAAAACTGGGAAAATAATAATTTTTTAACGTCTAATGCATAGATTATACACTTAATATATTTGAGTCTAATGTTTTCCTAAGTCCTAAACGAAGCTGCGATGGAAAAAAAAACTGTATGTAACCTTGATGAACATGGAAAAACCTAGAATTATTGAATTTACAATCATATTAATCTTATTTTAGACTTTGGATAGAATCGGGAGAATAGATTCAGATTTAGCAAGATCTAAATTGTATTGTAAAAACCGATTGGGAACTTTAGGGAGCAATATGACAGCTTTCCTTCAGAGATTTTCCTGGTTTCAGTCAATAAATTTCGCTTTAAAATTTAATTGAAATTGCGATGGCAATTTTTTCTAAAAACAAAATGTGATATTTTTTGTACCCACATAAGACGCCAAAGCACCATAATTATGCCAATTCAACCGAACTTTAACATAAATTATTGATATCTCTGAACCTAATAATGATTTGCAAAAAGTATACCTAATTGCTTTTGCGATAGTAGCTATTTATATAATAATGCGGTTCATCCAATTTGAACCTAATATTTCAGGAATGATATTTGTTAAGCTTTGGACTAAGTAAATAACAGATTTACAATGTCAAAAAAATAGTTCAGGAAAGGTCTTTCTTCACCCTGACTGTAATTAATATTATTATGAAGCTATGACAATATTTTCAAGTGACTAATTTTTTAAAGAAATTGGAATCATAAATAAAACCCAAGAATACTGGTGTTGCCATCATAACATTAGGCAATATTTATCATAAAATTATATTAAGGTTAGGATGGATTCCATAAACATCATCATTCTGTCTGTTCATTTGTTCTACTGTGGTTCTCATGACCTCATAAATCTCTACAAACTTTACAGACAATTAAGACGATGCTCGCTTCAGCTGCAACAATTCTATGACCACAGTACAAATGCAAATTACTTTTACATTTCTGACAATTGTAAAGTTTTGTAAGAATTTCTTTTCCGCACTCTTTACATGAAGCAGACGTTTTATCTTCCATATCTTTAACTGTTAGTACAGGTGAAACACCTAAGATTTCCAATATCATTGGTTCAGAGCAACTAGTGCTTGAACCACAAAAATTGTCAGAGACATTTATTTGCTCTGTATTTTTATGACCAGTTTTTTCTTGATGAAGATGATTTAAATTTCCAGCAGGAATTATTGGAGGTTGTGTAATGTGTTTAACAATTTGTTGTGCTTCAAGAAATTTATTTTTGAATGCTAAATTATGTGGTGATACTCTAGATAAGTTTGTATTGTTGATTCTCCATTGCAGAACATAACACAATGTTACCCAATGAGTTACATTCAAATATTCCATCAGTCTATCCATCAATGTCCTAATGTGTTTAAGCCACTTTTTTGAACTGTGCCTATGTTTTAATTTAAAATGACCTAAAAGTAAAAACTTTGAACATTTATGTAACAATTTGGTTCTTGTCACGGAAAAAAAACTTGGATCATCAACAAGGAGTTCATCTGGCTGTCCAAAATCGGCAAAGATTTTATACAGTTCCATAGCTATTTCAACATCACTGTTGTTTGCTAAAGGCCTCAGCTGAACTAAGCCGGTACCCAAGTCTTCATACACCAAAATAAACTTGAAGTCCTCAACAGGCTTGTCAGTCATGCTTACAATGTTTACTGCACATTGCTTATTAATAATCTGCTTGCCCATTTTATCCTTACAAACATCACATAAGCTTAATACCGTTTCAATATTACTCAATTCAATAAAGTTATCTATTCTGATTATTCTCATTGTTTCTAGGAGTGTGCGATGTACATTATCTGCTATGTGTGCTTCCCAAATAGTTTCAAAGGCATCTTCGCAAGGTATCAACCTTAATACATTCTGGAAACCATAGTCTTGCGTTATTCTATTCAATATAACATCGTCGTTAACTTTAGTAACGCAAAACCGATTCAAATTAAAATACTTTGGAACTTCAGTATTATTCTTATTGAGGCAGTCTATGATATATGATACTTTAGATCTAGTCCAAACCTCACTCAAAAGTTTATTTTCTAAAGTCATTGAATACATTTGTTTCATTGCGACCGAGCTTGACGTCATGGTTGAAATACATTGGTTATTGAATAGATTTTAACTCGATTACAGATACAGACATTACAGTAACTATTAAAGGCACCATTTAAAGAAAAAATATAACAAAACATGTGGGTGTGTGAACGGACTACTGATTTAATCAGAAAACTTTTTCATTTATTTCAGATCTAAAAAATCCCTTGATTCTTGCATTTTTTATTTTTTATTAAAAAAATTTATTTACGGTATTTTTCTTGGAGTTTTATTTTTTTATTTTTTAAACAAGGAACATAGGATATACCCTGAGTATAGGGATTGAAATCCTGTAGTCTTTACTCATAAATCGGAAATCCGGACTTTTAGTCGAACACAATCAATTGATCGACTTCAGAAATCGATAAAGTAGAACTAAATTATATCTTTCTACATGTTTACGATCGTTCAATAAATCATAAATTATTTAAATTACACTAAAATTAATTGATTTAATCCAAAAAAAATTCATTTACCTGTACTTCCGTTCTATTCGACATTAAAAAACCATATCTGCCATCCGTAATTGTTTTTTGATAAATCTCGATTTAGCACTGGACCATAATAACATGTCGTATTTGGTAAAAAAATCGATTTTTCGATTGGTTAATCCAGAAAGCCGCTCTAATTTTTAAGTTGGAAGTTTAGAACGCGAGATGCTTTTAAAAGCTTAATTCATAAATCGAAGGTGTGAAGTTAGCTGAATTCTTTTATCTGTTTATTGTTTCTATGCTTAGCCGTCTAATAATGGTGAATATTTATATCCGTTTAACATCTTTTGTTTTATGGAATAATCCTACAACTACTATGGATTTTGTTTTATTTCACCTCATTTAATTTCCCTCATTAATGATAAATTTCTATACCCTTCGTTCTATTTTACATTTCTATATAACAATCATGGCTTCGGCCTTTAATACAAAACATTAGTGATTAGAATTACGGACTTCGTTTCCCATTGCCCATCCAATGAGAATCAGACAAAATATTGAGTAGTTTAGTTTGTTGATTCTTTATTAGGTTAAATCTTTTCCTAAAGAAGCAACGCCAAATCTATCCGAGTCAATTTTTTTCCGAAGTATAGACGTAAGAAAAATCAATGAAAATGAATACAATATCCAGCGAGCTCAGTATGAACGATTTAAACAGTAAATTCTTTGAAATAATGCAAAATGAAGACAACGCCGTCGAAGCGACAAATTTTATATACGATCAATTGTTTGACGACGTAACCTTGGGCATCTTGTTTGAATTCCATCATGGGGTGAAGACCGGCCTTACAGATCTGATAGAAGGGGAGAAAGAAGAAGAAGAGCCCTATAAGATAGTAAATACATCCGAGTGTGACGTATTCGGATTTTCAATGATGAAAAAGACCCCAGATTCAAACTGCTCGTGTCCAAATTGTGAGCGACCGGTGTCGGCAACGAGGTTCGCGCCTCACTTAGAGAAATGTATGGGTAAGGACAAGTTGCTAATACTGTTTCACTGATTTATCACATGTAGTACATGTATTTCATTAAGCGGTATTATTTTAACGATGAATTTAAGTCAAAGCGTCAACCCCATTTACTACCAGTTAGTAGAATCTATTACAGTCGTAAACATTTTGTAATAGAGATATATTTAAAACTAGAACTATGTTAATGTTTTTGAAGATTGCATAGTAACTATTTTATTTAACATACCTAAATTATTTTATTTCTTTTTTGGATTGGATTCACAGTCTAGTAATAGTATCTAGATTGTGCACAACCATCTTTGTGTAACTGAAGACTTTATTTGCAATTTTGAGAAAAGTAGGGAGGGGTATGGCTTATGTGGTTTTAAATAGTTGAAACCTACGAGAATACCAGCTCTGGTCATCTTACAAACTACAATTGATATATTTAATCGCCTGATGATCAGTCAAAATCATCAGATAGTTTCTTATCAAGCCTCATGCCATTCACATTAAACTAGAATATTGTTTGTCCTATCATTCCACCTGGAGTGCAAACTAGTAAGAAATTGTTTCAACATGTATTTGTTATATTGTATATAGGAATGGGTAGAAACAGTTCTCGTATCGCATCCCGCCGGATTGCCTCAAACAGTCGTGAACCTACCTCTTATGCTGGACTACTAAGTGATGATGATGATGATGCTGACTGGGCCGGGGGCTCAATGCAAAATGAACGCCGGAAACGACGAATTAAAAACAACAATAACAGGAAACCAAATAAAATGCACAAGTATGTTGGCACCAATTTGTTGTTTGAAATAAAGTAATTATTTCCGCTATGCTGTAAGCAATATGGTACATATATTTGTTGGTTCATTCTCTTCTTTTATCTAAGTAGTGGATCAATATAATTTCTTTGTAAAAACATTTTTGGTTAATTGAGAATAACTGAAGCCTTCCTATTCCAGAAAGTAATAAACACACAATTACAAATTATAGAGCTATACAAATTTGTAGTCTTTCCCCTCGATTAAATTCTAGAAAGAAAAACATGTTGTTCTCTGAGACTGATAACACAGTAGATAGCCTCTATTAATGTAGTTTCTGATGACCAAGGACAGTTGCCCAGATTCATTGGATAACTAAGGTGGATAGAGGACTTTTTATAATTACAGTGGTAACAGCAGAAATGGTCACCTGAACAATGATGCTAATGATGGCAGTACTACCTATGAAACAATGACTGCCAATGAGAAGAAAAATCTATTATTACACAGCTGTGGTGTTGTTTCTGAACACACTAAGAAGTTTTGTACCAGGTATTTTGAGTTGTTATTTCTTCTTTTCTCCAGACAGTTGCTTTTACAAATATCTGCTATTTGGCTAAACTGATAAAGCACTTTATCCAACATCACTTTTTAGTAAGACACCTGTCTTAAACATGGTCTGCTGATGGGCTTTTCTCTACAAACTTTTTTTTTTTTTATTGCTTAGATGGGTGGACGAGCTCATAGCCCACCTGGTGTTAAGTGGTTACTGGAGCCCATAGACATCTACAACGTAAATGCGCCGCCCACCTTGAGATAAAAATTCTAAGATCTCAGTATAGTTACAATGGTTGCCCTACCCTTCAAACCGAAATGCATTACTGCTTCACGGCAGAAATAGGCAGGGCAGTGGTACCTACCCGCGCGGACTCACAAGAGGTCCTACCACCAGTAAAAACTGAGGGTGCTGTGCAAGTTTCCCATGTTGTTCAATAATTGATCAGATAGATCGTATTTGTTACATTATAATTATTGTGTATCATGAGATTTCAATTTATGTAAACAATTGAATAAGATAAACTCAATATTATTCATTCAAATTAATTTTAAATTCTGATCAAAAATATTTATTACTCAGGTCGACTCGGTGTCCCCAGCACACTGAAGAGCAACGCCGGGCCGTACGTATCAGTGTATTAGAGCCCTCAACTCCAGAGTCTCAAATGATGGGTCTAACCCCTGACGAGGCCAGCTCTCCGCCCGATTCCAGTCCATCTTCGTCTTGTTCATCGTCGAGTCGCAAGCGCGATCGCCACCGAGCCCCACCGAAGATGAAAAACAAACGGGAAAGGAACATCTCGCCAAGCCAAAGAGAATAGAGTTTACACAAGATCCTGCTCAGATGATTGGCACGGAACTTTTGGAAGGCTGAGCTGGTGATTGATAAAAAGTGAACTGGTGTTTTTTTTTTTTGTGTGATACATTTCAGGATAACGTACTACTGGTTCAAGTGCTCTAAAATACTTAGTTCTGTGATGAGACATTTCTAACAAAGTAAAAAGATGATTTGAGATGTTGTTCTGTTACATTATAACTAAGTCTGGTGTTTCGAATGCGACTGTCGATGGATCTCATTATTTCAACGAAATTAGTTATTAGTACTTCCTTTGATATTGTTTTTTTTTTAATGTACTCTACTATGAGAGTAAGAAATTGCATGAAGCATTTATTATTTTAAAAGTAAAACAAGCGTTCTACATATTATTATATAAGACCTACATGTGCGCTTTTCTTTGTACAATAAATAGATAAGAGTGCTTAGAGTTAGAGCAAAGATTAAAAAATAAAAAAAATTGAAAATATAATCATAAAAGCCAATATGTTGATAATCAAACTATATCATTACAAACAATATTTGGTTAATGTGAGTATTTGAGTTGTCTATTATCAAAGGTGGCAATCTGTGCATTTGGACAAAAAAAATTTATTGATATGTCAATACAGATTGATTTGAATATAATCGTCTCCTTCAAAGAATACGGTTCAAAACCTGCATTAAATAAAGGTTAATAGTTAACCTGTTATTTATCTAAGATGTCGTTCCGAAGAGTTTTGTGACTGCCAATGGAATACAAAGTNTGAATATAATCGTCTCCTTCAAAGAATACGGTTCAAAACCTGCATTAAATAAAGGTTAATAGTTAACCTGTTATTTATCTAAGATGTCGTTCCGAAGAGTTTTGTGACTGCCAATGGAATACAAAGTCAATAATTCGTTTTTCTGATTTACCAATCATTGTCCAAAAGTCAGATTGCCGGCTTTGATAATAGTCGACTCAATTATTGTGTATCATGAGATTTCAATTTATGTAAACAATTGAATAAGATAAACTCAATATTATCCATTCAAATTAATTTTAAATTCTGATCAAAGATATTTATTACTCAGGTCGACTCGGTGTCCCCAGCACACTGAAGAGCAACGCCGGGCCGTACGTATCAGTGTATTAGAGCCCTCAACTCCAGAGTCTCAAATGATGGGTCTAACCCCCGACGAGGCCAGCTCTCCGCCCGATTCCAGTCCATCTTCGTCTTGTTCATCGTCGAGTCGCAAGCGCGATCGCCACCGAGCCCCACCGAAGATGAAAAACAAACGGGAAAGGAACATCTCGCCGAGCCAAAGAGAATAGAGTTTACACAAGATCCTGCTCAGATGATTGGCACGGAACTTTTGGAAGGCTGAGCTGGTGATTGATAAAAAGTGAACTGGTGTTTTTTTTTTGTGTGATATATTTCAGGATAACGTACTACTTGTTCAAGTGATCTAAAAATACTTAGTTCTGTGATGAGACATTTCTAACAAAGTAAAAAGATGATTTGAGATGTTGTTCTGTTACATTATAACTAAGTCTGGTGTTTCGATTGTGACTGTCGATGGATCTCATTATTTCAACGAAATTAGTTATTAGTACTTCCTTTGAT